GGGCCGGCGGGGGCCGGGCGAGCGGGGCCGGCGGGCGGGAGCGGCGGAGCGCGGCGGCGGCAGAGCGGCGGAACCGGCGGCATGGAGCGGGCTCAGAGAGTCTTCGCGGGACCCAAGGTGAGCTGGCAGCGCTGCCGGAGGCGCGGGGCTGGGGACGGGGCGCGCAGCGGGGCCGTGGCGCTGTGTGCGGAGCGGGGACGGAGCGCGCACCGGCGCGGAGGTGCCGTGCCCGGGGCTGCGCTGCCCCGCTCAGGGTCGTGCCCCGCAGCCGAGCGGCCGCACCTGCTCTCCTCAGCCGCGGCGGGAGCCGGGGCTGTCCCGGGGCTGCAGCCGGCTGGGCACTGGGGCACTGGCTGGGGATGTGCCCCGCGCTGTCCCCCGGCGGTTCCAGCCGGGCGCTGCTGCCCTGGCCCGGTGCTGGCACATCCAGGCAGGCGGGGGCTGTCCCCGCGTCCAGCACATCCCGCTACCGGAGCGGTGCGGCTCCAGGCTCATCCCAGCTCCGCCGTGCTGCGGATGCACAAGTGGCCTGGCTGGGGAAGGGGCAAGCTCTGAAGGGCCCTGCATGCCAACTGCTATCGTGGTCTACTAAAACAAATATTTTCTCTTGTGTTTTTTATTTTGTTTTGTGGGTTGATTTGTTGTTTTGTGGATGCTTTTGTTTTAGAGTTGTTGTGGTTTTGTTTTGGTTTTTTTCCTTCTCTTAAACATTTAGTTGAGTTATTCCTCAGATACCTGTGACATCACCTTGTGGCTGCTGTCAGAGTGTGCTCCAGTCTTTCACTTTTTCCAGGCCCTGTATAAGTACATCTCTAGTAGGATCATACGGTAATGTGTTTRTTGTTCAGATTGTAAAACACCTGAGGAGGAAGAAGATGAAACAGCCGTGGTTAGCAGTAGTCCTGTACCTGATGGCAGAGCACTGCCTGTGCTGCAGGATGGCTCAGCTCTCAGGCTGTGGTCTGGGTAAGCTGCTGTGCCAGGAGCAGGTCACCCCTGCCTGGCTGCCAGGTTGGGCTCTTGGTGGGAAGTGAGGAGTCAGGGCAGAGGAAACMAAAAAAATTGATGTGAGAGTTGTGGCGATCCCACTCTGGGAGAATGAGTGATGCAACTGCTTGTGGTTTTTCCTGAGAAGAAGATTGTCTTGAAAACCATGAAAGGATTGAGGGTTTTTGCTGCTGTTTTCATCCTCTCCCACTCCCAAACCATTTGCCTCTCAGTCTGAGTTTGCACCAGGAGAGTCTCGTGTACTTGGAAAAGGCTGTGTGTGCAGGTCTGATTCATATTTCATTCCATCACTGTGGTTCCCTCTGGACGAAGTTGATCCATGCAATAGCAGGCACACCTTGATACCAAAATCCAGGCAGTGTTGGCAGCTGCTAATGGTTAAAGCCTTCTTAAATCCACTTCAGTTTTGGGAGATGGTGGCTTTTCATCAGCTCCACTAAGAGTAGAGGCTATTGGTTCATCCCAGGGATTTTAAACTTTTGACCCAGAGAAGCAACTTAAGTTCTTCTTTCACTTRTGCTTCCACTTTTCCAGTGTGTGGGAGAGTGGGATACCAAAGAGAATGACCTAGGAAAATCTGCAGGGTTTGACTGCTTGGATCAGGCTTGTGTTGTCTGACCATTGGCAATTACGAGATTGGTTTTCCTGAGTCAGGCAGTCCCTTTCAGTCCTGTGAACCTGCTAAGTCAGGCTTGGGGGAAAAAAATGGGCCTGAAGTCAGTTAATGAGCCCTATTCATTCCTCTGGATCCTCTGCCATTGGGAGCGACCAGTTTYGTGTTTTAGAGATGTTTCTGGTAACCAGAGCAGCTTCAGCCTGGGGTGAATGTGGGGCCGGGGCTGCCTCTGCATTTTTCATGAACTCGCTGACTCCAGCGACTGCCCTGATGAACAGGGAGCTGCAGGGGGACAACTTTGAACCCTGCTTATCACGGGCCATAAAAGAGCAGAAAAGGCTGATATTCCTTTGACGTCAACCAGCCTTCCTCTTTCTGTTCCACACCAGAGCAGATGCCATGTCCTTGCTCGCTGCTGGCTCCTCTTTCTGCAGGTCAGCCCCATCCTGRTGGCCTCAGGACACATGGCTCTCTTCTGCAGGTCTCGTGGGCCAGGAGAGAGATGGCCAGAGCTGTCTCTGGCTCTGTGAGTCCTGTCAGTGGAGAGGAGAGTGGCTGGTGACCCAAGGTGCCGTGCTGCTGTACCCAGGTGATTTGGGTGGACGTCCTGCCCCGGTCCCTGTAGCACTGCAAACTGTCCCTGCCTGCTGTGGGGACTGGGAGTGCATGGTGGTGTGTTGAGGACAATGTTAGATTTGCTTTGTCCCCTTCCTGTGCACAGCCTGACCCAGCTGGCTTGGCACAGGTCACAGCCTGGTGCTGCTGAGGCTGCCCTGAGCTCAAGCCATGCCCTATGAGTGGTACCTTGTGTGCTCAATTCTTTAATAATGGGCTACAGGGACACTCTTGGACAACCCTCCCAGATCCACTGTCAAACGTGGTGGCAGTGAGAAGTCGGCCTGGTGCTGCAGGACTCTTGTTTGTTGCTCTGAAGCGATGCCTCGCTCCAGCCAGGTGTGGTGCCAGGTCTGTGATGGGTTGGTGGGTACATGGCTCTGCCACCCCTTAGGAACCACCACCTGTGATGACACACAGCCACCATCACCTGTTAATGTCACCAGGAGTCTTGTACCATGGTCAGGGGAGGTTGAGTAGTTGGTGTCAGGAGTGTGGTGCTAAAGGCTGCTCAGCACTGACCATCCTCCTCTTCCTCAGCCACCAAACCCATGAATCATTGTCTAGAAGTCTAGAAAGCACAAATATTTCCTGCAGTGGAGCAGTGTGGGTCTTGTAGTCTCCCACCTTTCTCTTTTAAAGGCTGGTGCCTTAAAGCATTTGACAAATATTTGTCCCAAATGCATGTGTGGTGTCATCAGTTTTGAGGATAATACTGTGCCATCTCCACTTCACAACCCTCTTGAACCACTGTCACCTCTTGCTTCTAAATGAGCATTTGAGGTGAGTTTAGGATGAGCATCACTTTGCCCCTGACAACACACTTCCAACGACTGAGTTCAAAGACAGTTCATTTTTTTTGCAGTGGTTTGCTATGCTTACCTAATAACTGACAAATTACAGCTGTAACTACCCTGGTTTTCAGCTATTGAGATTAATGGAATGAACTTAAATTATCACCTTTTAAGGGGCTGATAAGTAACTGTGGGCAAAGTCACTGTTAAGGGTTTCTAAATGATGCAACTTTATCAGCTGCCTGATTATCTATTAACGTCTGCTGGAAACCTCACAATAAAAGGGGTGGACTGGCTTTGGTCATTGTATATATTTCAAAAAAGACCCTAAAACCACCTAATACAGAAAATCTTTCAAGTGACTTAGCTTGAATGGCTGTTTTTATGCCATATAATARGCTATCTGAGCAGGTAACTGCTCTGCCATGGTCTGCTGATCAAACCATAATAGAGAGATTGTGGCGGGTTGACTGTGGCAGAAAATACTTTTAATGTTTGCTTAACTTTTTCCCCTTAATTTCACTAAATTGAAAATAACCAGACTTGATCTTGGAATGGAACCTACTTGTCTGAGTACCTTCATTTTGTGTTTGAATTTATTTTTGAAGCTTATTAAGTCTCAAAGAAAACATTAGAATATTTTCAGAGAAGTCAAAGCCAGAGCCCTTAAAACTTCTTGTTTTTAAAAATCTGGACCAACTTGCTGATATCTGCACTAATGAGTCATGTGCCATRGTTGAGCTAAAACATTTTTTGCATAAAAATGGAAAGCGCTGGCTTTGCTCTGATGGCCTTCCTGGGGGCTGTCTGTGCTGAGGGTGCACAATTTGCAGCCTTTTGAMCATCCTTTGAACTCATCCCTCTGGCTTGTAGTGAAACTAAAAGTTTTATGGCATTACACTCTGGGTTTTGGATGCGCTGGTGGAGGTGCAGGATGTCTGAAGGGTTTCTGCACAAAGCTGGTGCTGAGAGTTCTTGCTGTACCTGGGAGAAAAACAAAGCTGCTGCTTCAGGAAAGTGTTGGAAAGCTCTGCTGCTTTCCTGCTCTTCATCAGAGCAGGTGGTACCACACCCAGCTGGGCTGTGAGAAAGGAAGGGATCAGTCTGGTCATGGCATCCCTGCCCATGGCAGGAGGGGTTGGAACCAAATGACCTTTAAGTTTCTTTCCAACCCAAGCCTTTCTGTGATTCTATGATCAGTGGTCCTGGAGTCGCTGAAGGATCTTCTCCAGTGCTGGTGTTGCAGCTTGTGGTGTTGTTCAGATCCTTCACCAAGTGTTGAGATCCCAATTTCATATGTGTGCACATGCTTCCTTTCCAAATAAACTGGAGATTTTGGGATGGAAGACCACGTGCACATGGAGCTCTGTGTAAGGAGCAGAGAACCTTGGATGAAGCACTGAGCTCCTGCATTCCCCCAGTTTCTGCTTGCTCAGGCATCGTCCCCTAGAGCCACAGTTCAGAGAAAACTCTTTCATCTTTATCTGRGTACTTTCCTTGGCTTAAGGCAAGGTCGTGTCACCCATTTGTATCTGGAAAAGTCTTGTGCTTTGTTTACCCAAAACAAACAGGGCAGGAAGAGAGCTGAAATGTAATCTGTAGTGAGCAGCCTCCCCCGAGCCTGGAAGCCCTGGGGCTTTGTGAGCAAGGTGTCCAGGGTAGATGAGCTGCTGGGTTGTGCCTCTGCTGATTGCATCCTTATCTGGAGCTCTCTAGGGTTTCCATCCTTTCCACACATTTCCATCTTCTCCTGGATGTCCTTTGGCCATCCTAATAGCATAGATTATTTCTCAGCTGCAGGAAACAATCCTCTCAAGCGCTGATCTCGAGGAAACCCAAAACTTTTTTGGGTTGAACAGCATTGCACAAGGGTTTCTTAGCACTTGGTTTAAGTCTCTCCAGACCCAGAAAAAGGTTGGCAGGGGAGAAAGAGCCTGTGGCTGATGCTGGAGAGGAACCTTGCTGCTTTACAAGCATCTTGCCTGCAGAAGTGGCAGGAGGAGGTGACTTGCATAGATGAAGGATGCCACAGAATCTTCTTTCTCATGTTCTCATGTCATGTTGGGATGTTCTTGCAGCAAACGCTTGAAAAGGGTTTGAGAGAGCTCAATAGGTTCAGGCTGCTTTGTTTTTCAGTCCAGTGCAAGCAAACTTCAAGCCTGTAACTCAATCAGAAAGTCAGTCCTAAGGGCTGTTAAATACCTCAAGGAGTGGATCTTGTATGGTTTTGAAATAGGAATTGGAGCTCAAGAGTGGAAAACGTGCCAGGCATCCACATCTGGCAGTGCAGATCATGTCTGTAGCCTGTTATTTTATCTGCTGCTTTGCAGGACATTTAGTCCTCATGAGCAGGATTGTGTAACTCGAGGAGGGGGGAAAGATCAGGTTTTGCCCTTTTTAGATCTTCCTTCTCTGTAGATTCTGATCGTATCTTAAGGGTAGGAACAGTGCCGGGGATATCTTTTCATGATCTGCCAACAGTGGTGACCCCTGGGCCAAGTGGTKGCCACCAGCAGTTTGATCTCTCCTGAGCCCAGCACCTGCATTTTGCATCCCACCAGTGCTGCAGTGGCAGCTTTGTGACCAATGTGTGGAGATGGCCTGACTCCCAGCCCCGTTCCTGCCCTTTTTTGTGGCAGCAGTGGCCAGTGGAAGCCCTGGCAGTGTCAGGTGTGCAGGGATGGGAGCGAGCTCACGGGCATCAGTGCACGCCCCAGAGATGGGCACTGCCAGCGCTGTGCTGTCATCTGCTCTTGGACACTCACAGGCACTTCTTACTCATTTTTCTCCCAGCTCCTCATAGTTATTGTTTGATACATGCCCTGACGCCAGAGGGTTTGTGGGTTTTAATTAGTAACCCTGGGCAGTTTAGTTATCCATGCAAATATCCAGTCCTCCTCTGAATCCTTCTCAATTCTTACCCTCGGCACCCTGCAGCTCTCATCTATGAAGGAAAATGCCCATGATGTTATAACTAAAAAGAACCTTGTGTATTAAGTTTCTGATCTGCAGTATCATAAAAAAAGTAAAATAAAATTAAATGCGTATTTTGTAGGCTATTCTGTTACTTAAAAGAAAATAGTTCTGGAAAGATGACTATCAAGCTGAAACATTTTGCAGCTAATATTTTCCTTCCTAGTTCGACTTCCAAATTACATTTATCATGTTTCTCCAAAAGCCCCAGCTGGCTAATGGAAAAAGCTTGCTTTTGCTTTTCTGGGGCTCTTTCTCCAAAATCCAATGTTTCACAATAATGGGGAAATGGCTTCAGAGTGAAAAGACCTGAGTTACTGTCCCATTATTAATGAGTAAAAATTTAAGTGTTTTATTTTAAAACCTTGTTAKCTTTATGGGGCAACTTGTTATTATTGTTTTTACAGCACCTTTGTGCCATGGGACTGACCCCTTGTGTCGGATTAGAGAGCCTGTAAGCTCTGATAATACCAAGTAATTAACAGCCCATCCGGAGCTGATTCTTGGAAGTGAAGTCAAAGTTTTTGTGTAATGACTCTTAGCAAATTAATTGGTGTTTGGCTGCCTGTGATTTCAAGGAGRAAGCAATCTGGAAAGTGAAGGTGTTTGGGATTTGCTTCCCAAACCCTAAACCGTGKAAGCTAAATAAGGGTAGGGCAGTTCCTGAAAATTACTGGAAACAGAATAMATTTCTAAAGATTCATTGTGTGTGTGAGCTGCAGCACCCACCACAAAATATTTAGACAGTACTTAGATATTGAAATATAAACTTTATAATAATTATATTTAAAAATGTCTATGAACTATTGTTGCAGTTCTAAGCTACTTGTCTCTGAGCTGTTGTTGCAGTTCCAAGAGTGCCTGACCYGTTTCTCTTCTTGCAGGTAGAGCTTCACGTCCACCTGGATGGAGCCATTAGACCAGAGACCATCTTGTACTTYGGCAAGTGAGTTGTGGGGGGAAGAAAGCTCTGGGAGCTGCAGTTTGCAAGCATCATCCCTTCTGCTTGTCCAGGTCTGAGACAGAGGAGCTCCTGCAGGCAGCAAACCTGGCTGGTGCTGGTTCTCTCCCTACCCGACACGGGTCATCTGGCTGTGCTGGTACTGAGCACATCCCAAGGGACAGTGGGGCTGCACAGGCAGCAGGAATTGAGTGAAGTGGTCATGGGTGTGTGAGCAGGGCAAGCTCAGAGGAGCCACCACGAGAAAAGCTCAGGAGGTGTCTCATAAAGAGCTGCCTGCCTTTGAAGTGCACCAAGAACATTGCAGAGGCGCTGTATTCTCATTTCTTTTTCCACATTCCTAATTTCAAAAGCAAGTGGAGTGACAGCAGGCTGGGAATGTTGTCTTGGTGCTGTTCCACAGTTTGGAAGGAAAAACCAGCTTGTGTGCCCTTCCCTGCCCTGCTGCCATGTGCCTTTGCATGCCAGGCTGTCTGCCTGGTGACTGCACTCAAGGATCACGCTTGTGGGTGGGTGACCCAGGGAAGCACTCAGCACTGACTTAGAGAGAGGCTGTTCCCTTGACAGAGCCCACGTGCATCTTCCTTCAGTGTGGGTTGTGTGGGAAGCACTGGGTGAATGATTAACCTGAGCAAGGGCCTGGCTCCACGTTTGGAAGCAAAATAAACACGATTTCTTCCAGCTGTCACTGATACCCTCAGATCAAGACAGTGGCRAGAGTAAGGATTTCAGGGAGCAGCTCTTAGGCACTGCTCTGGTATTTTGGGGAGGAAATCAGTTCTGAGGAGGATGGGGAAGTGGTTCTGGCATTCTGCAAGTCCAGCAGACTCCAAGGCACTACGGTCCTAGGGGGAAATATTCTTTCTGGAGTAGCTTTTTCTGCAGGGCCATACTTTTTGCAGCGTAGTCRGAGCAAGGAGCATGGGTCAGGACTGTCCATCCCATTTGTTTCTGGATGCTGTTGTGGTGAACTCAGTCAGGGCTCCTGCTGGTGAGCTGCAGGGCTGGGGTACTGGTCCAGATGAACAGAAGAGTTGGTGCTGACTCCCTGGGGCTCTGCTGGGTCCCTCTGCCTGCAAACACAAAATGCCAGTGCAGTMCCTTAGAGAATTGCAGGAGCCCTGAAACCCAGGAGGCAGGGGCTGTGTGGGGATCCTGTGCCAGGATCCTTGCTTTGGGCACAAACCTTCATTGCCTCAGTGTGTGCTGAGTTCCCTCTTATTTTTAAACAGCCCTGGCATCTCCTGAGCTGCCAGCCCTTGGGTGGAGTAAGGCTGTGCTATTCATCAGCTCTCAAACTTGCACTCACTAAAAATGCAGTGGGGCAGTGCAGAAGGCTGTAGGGAACTGACTGCCTAAATAGCTCACCCTGGGCACAGAAAGCTGGTTTTGGTCTATTTTTAAAGGTAAAGATCTGGAAATAAAGTTGCTGGGTGATGTCTGACCATGTCCAGACTCCACACGGCTGAGATGCACAAAGCCCCTTGGGCAGTGCGCTGCTGAAGTCAGCCGTTTTTAGAAACTGTCTCCAATTCTGTAAGGTCTGGGTCAGTCTTTGCATCTGCCCTGCCCAGCCAAAGGGCTTAGAGCCRTGGCAGACCCCTCATGGGGACTGGGTGTCCCCAGGAGAGTTGTCCTTTCCACGGTGGGATGGTGTGCATTGTGCTGTCCGTGGCTGGATGGAGCTCGGGGCAAGACACTGAGATAGTAATGAGAACAAACATCTTCCCCTGGGGCAACTTTGCCTCAAGAGAAATCCCCCCTCTAAGAGGGTTGGATGGGGCACCAGCAGCTCCAAAAGCCACAGTGGCACCATCCACCAAACCTCCTCATCCAGAGGCGCAATTCCAGCGTGGATCCTCCCAAAGCACCACTGCTGATGCCTGCATGAAAGCACCTCTCCAGGAAGAACAGGAAAGAGGTCAGGCCAGTGGCTTTGCTGTGGGAACCTTCCCTGGGGCAGGTGGAGGAAGGTGCAGGTCAGTTCCCAGAGCAGAGACTGATGTGTCAGTGCCATGGAAAGGGCAAGGCGGGGAGGAAAGCCGATGCCTTGGCAGCGAGGAGCGTTCGCTGTGGAGTGCCAGCAACTTAATCTGTGCAGATTGCATGTGAGGGCTGAGCGTGGGGCTGGTTTCCTTCCTGGCTGAGCGGGGAAGGAGCAGCATTTACTGAGCCCAGGAACAGGGTCCGTTGGGCTGTGTCCCTGTGTGCTCACTGGGCATCACAACGCTAAAGCTGTCTGTGGTGTTTTGTCTCTATTAGCAGAGTTCTTCCATCAATCAGCTTTAATTCATTGTGGCAGGAAAGAGGATTAGAAACAAATGTCTAGTTATTATTCCAAATTTATGTTGGCTTGTGCAGGGTACCAGAGGGTGGGGGATGCAAAGCTTGCCCAGGAAGCTGCAGCACCCTTGGCTGGCAGCCACACCGGGGACACCTTCACCCACTGGGTATTCCAGCTGCTCCTGGGGAGGACAGCCTCTTCCCTCCTGGGAGCATTGATGTGGGCATTGGCACGTCTGTCCCTTTGGTGAGAGCGGTTGTTGCCGTTTGTTCCGGTGTGGGAGGTGTTCCTGTCACAGGAGATGCCACCAGGATGCTGGGCWCAGGAACCAGCTCGCTCACTGGCACCAAACCCACGATGCTTCTGCCTGGTGTGATCCCAGACCTCAGAGCATCTCCTCAATTTTTCAATCCTTTAAGCCTGCCCTAAGTGGAAATTAACTTTTCTAAAGAATTTTGGCAATTCTGCTGCTAGGTCTAAGAGGTGCCAAGAAATAATCCAGAGCCCCTTTAGACGAACTCCTTCTTAAGCTTAAAATGTGCCCTGGCTGTGTTCCTGCTGGGTCAGCCTGGGCTTGTATTTCGGTTTGTTTGTGCTTTGCCTGTGTTTTGGATCTCCTTCCTCCCCGCTGAGATTCAGGGCTCCATCCGTGAGGAGATTTTGGAAGGACAGCGTGTGCTGTATCTTTCCTGTGAAGAAATGGTGGTTGATGCTGCCAGCTTTGGATGCAATTGGTGTATGAAATAGACTGATCAAAAATGTGATAACCATCCCCGTCACTAACATGTGGCTTCGTTTCCAGGAAAAGAGGCATCCCTCTCCCTGGGAATACTGTTGAGGAGCTCCTGAAGTATATCAGCTATGACACACCCCTATCACTTCCCCAGTTTCTGGAGAAATTTAATTACTACATGCCTGCCATTGCGTAAGKACCCTGCTTTTTGCTTCTTCCCCCTCAACTCTTGGCAGCATCCCTTGGCTCAGCCTTGGAGGTCCCCTGTGGGCCCTGAGGGTGACAGATGCCACTGCCATCCCGCAGGGGTGACCGTGAGGCGGTGAAGAGGATTGCCTACGAGTTTGTGGAAACCAAAGCGAAGGAARGAATGGCCTACGTGGAGGTCCGGTACAGCCCTCACCTCCTGGCCAACTCTGGTGTGGACCCCATCCCCTGGGGACAGGCTGAGTGAGTGATCCTGCTGTTCTGGGGAGCTGGGGGTGGCTGCTTGGCCATGGAGAGGGCTGAAGGCTGCTGTAACAAACCTTTCTCCTCCCATGCAACATCGCTCAAGTGGCAACATTTCATCTCTCTCCCATCAATAGGGTTTTCCATCTTAAATATCCCCGTGTGCTGCAGTGTTTTAAAGTCCCTTGCTCTGGGCACCGAGTTCTGCCTMAATGTGCTCAACCTTCTGGCTGGAGCCATCCCCTTTGTGAGGAAAAGCAGTGTCCACACAGGGACTGCCTGACCACAGAATGGGAATTGGAGCTGGCAGAGGTGGTGGGTGGTGTTGGAGGGGGCTGGTGATCTGATCCCTTCCTTTCATGCCATCCCTCTGTGATGTGTGCCTCTCACTGAATCAGTGCTGGGCTCTGGGGCCCCTCCAAGGCGTGCTGTGGTGGGTGCTGAGCCCTGGGCTTGCCCCTGCAGMCAGCTGTGTGCCCCAGTGGGATGCTCTGGCAAAGAAAGAGCAAAGTTCCTCTGCTCAGGCAGGGCTGGCATCCAGTTCCCCAAGGCCTTTCTAAATCTTAGTGCATGCTTTAGTGCCAATATCTGGTAAATGTGGGCATGGCACGGGGGTAAAATGTGCCCTCAGGCTCTGAGTGGTCTCTCTGGGATGTCAAGGTGAACAGAATCTGGGGCAGCCTGTCCTCCCCTGGGGATGCTCAGCTGGACCCGTGGTCCTGCCTGTCTCCCTGGCTAGTGTCCCGCCTCTTGCTGATGCCTTTTCTTCCTGCAGGGGGGACCTCACTCCGGACGAAGTCGTTCACCTCGTAAATCAGGGCCTGCAGGATGGAGAAAGGGATTTCCACATCAAAGTCAGGTCTATTCTATGCTGCATGCGCCATATGCCAAGTAATGTATTGCAGCCGCCCTGCTGCTCTGCTCCCCTTCCCTGACGCGCGGCGGGGGGACGGCCCGGGGCTGGGGCCCTGCAGGAATTGGGGACAGCCCTGATCCCTGCTCCCTGCTCTGATGTGGGACTGACAGTGCTGAGGGGATTGTTTCTTGGTGGGGGTCAGTCCTCTGCTCCTTTCGCTGCAGGGCAAAGGTCTGTGGGGTTCAAGAGTGGGAGTCTGTGGGTACAGCGAGGGTCTGAAAGGTCCTGCTGGAGGGACAGAAAGGGTTCTTCTGTCCTCTGCTGTGATCTCTGCTCCCTGCCCAAAGGCCAGAGCTCGCCTTGGGCCAGCAAAAGCCATTGGCACAGTGAGCAGTGCATCTGCCAYGACTGCCTGGGGGTCTGAGAATGAATGGCCATGGAGGGAGGGCCAGCAGTGACATCTCACACTTCCCTGCTCATGGTCCTACAGCAGGGTTCACCTTCCTTAGCCTGGGTCATGGGGCAGCTAGAGAATCTGCTGGCCACACTCAGTCTCTGCTGGCTGAAGCTGAAAACACAAGTCAAATATACTAAGGCATATATATATAAAATGTTTTTATAAAATCAGCAGCTCTGAACTTTGTTGGTAAGAGATACTGTGACCCAGAATAGGAAGGAAACCCGATTTCCAGCATTTCAGTGGGCTGCTGAGTTTTGTGAGCATCTTCCTCTAGGGAAGGATGCAGCCAGAGAGGCTGTGTGTGACAGTACCTCTTTCATGTGATGGTTTTATTCTGAGTGTCTTCATATCTCACATGAGTTTTATGTAGATTTAGCAGGGTAGATGGTTGAAAGACTTTTCCTAATGAGTTAATGTTTAATTTGTGTCTAGAAATGTGAAAAGTTACATTATTGAAATCTGGCAGATTTGAGAGTGGGTTTCTTTTTTTTTTTTTTCCTGCCTGCACAGTCAACACCAAACAATACTTTGAAAAACTTGACCCTTACATTTCTGGTTCCAGGGAGAAAATGTTTTTCTTTGTAGAAAGTGGATAGCAGTAGGGCTCTGTCACACTGATCTGCCAGCACATAGGTGGTGAAGGCGGGAGGTGGCAGGAGCATCCTGCATTTCACTGCAGGAGGGATTGCTTGTGCAAGCAGCAGCAGCATCCTCTTAGCTGTGTCCCAGGACACCAGCTGATACCCAGAGCTACTGATGTGCCTGATAAAGAGTCTGTGGCAGTACATTCAGGATGTGCTGCATAGTGAAAAGCCTGTAATTAGTGAGTTGTTGAGAGAAAGGCAGAGATGCCAGCCAGAGCTAGCTCATATTAAACTTGTTAATAAAATGATGGCTCTAACCCAGTGAGCTGGAAAGTGATGGGAGAAAAAAAAAGATGAAGTTGCTCACATCATCCTGGTGTGTTCATAGGATTCGGGGGCTCTCTGTCCACAGCAGGTGCCTGTTAATTATTAACACTAATGTTTATCTCTGTTTCTKGGCCTTCCTGCTAAGGTTAAGTGCTAGGTGAGCTGGTAGATGCAGTTCCTTTCTCAGAGGTTATCTGTCCTGATCTGGGAGGGCCCTGAAGCATTTGTTGGCCACCTGCTAATCTCTTTCTCACTGATGCCAAACAGATAAAACTTCAGCTCCTTCCCACCAGGAGTAGGATCCTTGGGGAACTCAAGGRTGTCCTACAATGGGGCAGGGATGACTGCACTGCAGGATCCCTCACAAAACCCTCCCAATTCAATCTCCTCCATGACATAACRCATCTGATGGGCCAGTTCTTTCCTTTCCCCTCACCTTGCCCAGCCTGGGAAGCGGTGAAAGCTCAGGAGTTGAGGGATTTCTCCAACACACCATGGGCACTGCACTTTTCTTACCTCAAGCCAACTGCAGCAGCCACTACTGCTGGGAGGTTTTTTAATTAATTACTTCCCCTGCTTGAAGTGAACAGAAAACCATGATGAGAGCAGTTTTATAGCTGGTGAATCATCTGATTTCCCTTTCTTTGACAACAGACTGACCAGTTGACAGCTTTTATTTGCCTKAAGATGACCTTTCTAGCAGTTCGCTAGGTTTCTTTTTGAGCAGCAAAGTCTAGGAAAGGCTGAAGAAAACAGCTCTAGCCTCCCTAGTTATAGGACCAGGATTTGTTTAAAAAAATGCTGAAGGTGTGACTTTTATGAATGCTTCCTCCTGAATCCTGGTGCTGCCTCTTGCAGGCTGGTCCCCAGAGGTGGTGGAGCTCTGCAAGAAATACCGAAATGACTCTGTGGTGGCTGTCGACCTGGCTGGGGATGAGACCCTGAAGGTGGATAATTACTCTGAGCATAAGAAGGCTTATGAGGTTTGTAGAATAAGTATTTTAAAAGAAATTACAAGAAAAATTGAGGGGACATGTGTGAAGTGACCCTTTTCAAACTGCAAACAGCTGGAACAACTTAAAAATTCGTTGCAGATATTAAAAACATTCAGTTAMATAGCAAAAGTATTTGTTTATATTTCCTAAATGATTAATGGCAGGCATCATTGCTAAAACATGGCCTTGGAACTGAGGCTTGGCATGCCACRCTGTAGCACTGAGTGTGACATGAGTGACATGGAGCCCAAATTGACCCCCACCCCTCTGCTGTTGGCTCCTGGGGCTTGGTGAAACCACAGCCAAGGCTGGAAGAGACTGATCTTTCCAGTCTGGCAGAAATCACCCCAGCAGCAGAGGAGAAGCTGCACATTTGCAGGGCTTTTATCTGATCATCTCAAATGGGAATACGAGCCTGATCCCAGGCTCTCACTGAACCTCAGCCCTTGCAGCAGCTCAAAGGGAAGGGAAAGCCCTGCTCCTCCTCTCTGCTGGTGGAATTTGGGGTGGTTTGTCCCCTCCAGCACTSGGGGAGGAGGTTGTGCACCATCACTGGCAATCAGGATGGTGGTTTGCAAGCAGTGCTCAGGTCTGCACACACATGGGGCTTCCTTGGGGTCTTTACCCCATCTGTGAGAGCTGATATAGGGTCGTCCTGCACTGCTGTGCTGGAGGAACAGGGTGATTATAAACCATGGCACAGGGGATTGTTAACTGATGGGCAGGCACAACCCAGGTCCAGCCTCCTCTGTCTGAAGGATTCACCTTGTCTCTGTGCCAGGGGCTCACTCAGGCTSTGGGATGCTGAAGCAAACCCCCCTCCCACTGTATTAAATAACTGAAAACAACCCCTGAGTGCAAAGCCCTGAAGGACTGTGTGAGGTAGGTTTGCTGCAAGAAGGGGCTTGCAGCCTGCCTGCTGTGCCAGGGTGGTCCTTCTCCAGCRAGGCAGGAGCCAGGCTTCCCTCCAGGCTCCACGGCAGAGAGGAGGGGACTTTTGCCCCTGCAGCAAAGGATTTTTTGGGATAGTCAMGGGACTGYAGCCAAAGCTGCAMTTGMAGGGTCYTTAAGGCTGKGCTGCCTCCATCCCCAGCCCCTGTAAGAGGGAGGTGCTCATTGTCAGAGCATTTTTTCATCTCTGCCCTGGGGTGCTTCTAAACTCTCCCATGTGGCTGCAGCCAAAATGTAGAAGTTTCAAAGTGTGGAAGTGTTGCAGGGTTCATGCAGAAAGGCAAGTGGGTGAAGCAGGAGGAGCTCAGAGCTTGCTGCTGGCTGGAGAGGAGGCAGTGGTGAACTCACCCAGGGTTAAAAGCCTCTGAAGAGCCTGGCTGGGCTCCAGTGGAAGATAACCAGGATTTTTAAGTGTCTCTCKGTGTGACATAACTGAGCTCTTGCAGCCCTTGGAGTGCAAGGCTCGTGATCTATGGGCTCTTGGCACAGGAATCTTGCTGTGCCCGCGGGCAGTGCCAGCCCAGAGCCTGCTGACCTTGCTGCAGGTGATGGGACAGGAAGGTGCTCTCCATTTTTGCAGGAAGCTGAGAGATGCGGGATCCATCGCACCGTCCATGCTGGGGAGGCCGGCCCGGCTGCCATGGTCAAGGAGGTACGAGGAGTTCCTGACTCAGGGCACACAGGGACAGGGCTGTGACGTGCCCTGCACTGGGGAGAAAGGATCCAAGTCCTCTCCATATCCACAGCACAGTGAACAGTGGGGACATGGGCAGAGAGCTGCCCTGACAGCTGGGAAAGGGGCCAGCTCTGTGGTGGGGCTGTGCCCGCTGTGGGATGGGGGTCTCAGGGCAGGTGGGGGTCGAGCTGGTGTTTGGAGGCTCTGAGTGGGTTTCCTGTGCTCTCCAGGCAGTTTATGTCCTGAAGGCCGAGCGTGTTGGCCATGGATACCATGTCCTGGAAGACCCTGAGCTCTACAAGGAGCTGCTGAAAGTTAAGATGCATTTTGAGGTAAGGATGTGTGGAGGAAGCATGACAGCCAGGTCTGAGTGAAAAATCAGCCCTCACTCGGGCTGTGCTGCAGCCAGGGACAGGAGCTGACCCCCAAGTGCTGACCCTGTGCACAGGGATTTGTRTTGGACCTGGATGCCCAAAAGGAAGAATTTTGGGGACACCTGGCTGTTTGCTGGGTCATGCTGCAAGGAGCATCAGTGCGCACAGCAGCTTGTGGGAGGCTTGTAGGAGAGAGAATGGGTGATTGTGTGGCCAAGGATGAATTCTGGAGGGTTTATTCACTAATTTATGTACCTCAGACCTACATGCTCCTCTTTCTTGCACAAATCAGGCTGCTGTACTRGAGCAAGCCTGGTGAGAGGGTGGAAATGGCCGAGAGCTCAGTGCATGTGTGGATTTCTTTGGCTTTTGCCCAGAATGGACAGATCCAGCTAATGGAAGGAATATGTACTTAATGCAAGGAGTTTCCCAACTGTGATGGACATGTGGCTGGTGACTGACTGGCCATTGGGAACATCCCATTGGGTCCTGCCAGTGTCCTGTGGGCTGTGGGCTCTCTGTATCCATGCCCTGGGCCATGCACTGGTCTATCTGAGCAGCTGAGGGCAGCTGTGAACAAAGCTCTAATCTGGTTTTACCAGTGTGCTGAGCTATCTGTGCYCACAGCTGGGGTTCAGATCCGCGTGGTTGATTCTGGTTTTCATGCTTAACTCCCCAAAACAGGTCTGCCCCTGGTCCAGTTATCTCACGGGAGCATGTTCTCCGGACTTCAGCAAACACCCCGTAATACAGTAAGGCTTCTCAATTATTCAAAATCTCAAATAACCTGGATTTGGGTTGATTGCAGCTGCTTTATTGCTTTATAAAACCTAGGCACATCTAATGATGTTGGACAATGTGGCACATCCTTGTCCTTTGGCAGCTGGAGGGTGTGGGGGTCCCTGGGGGAGGCTGTCCTGTCCCTCCTGCCCTGCTCTGAGCTGCACCACCCACTGCTGGCAGGTCAGAGCAGAGCCATGGGGGGACATGCCAAGCCCTGTGCTTGTCTGCAGCAGTGCCAGAGATCTTTGMTTTTGCTGCATTTCACCCTGAGAACTTCACAGTCACACCCAGTGTTTTACCCACCAGTCCAACCCAATTTCTTTACAGATTTAAGAAGGACCGCGCCAACTATTCTCTAAACACGGATGATCCCCTCATCTTTAACTCCACCATTGACAAGGATTATAGCATTGTCAAGGAGCACATGGGCTTCACTGAAGAGGAGTTCARGAGAATTGTAAGTTGGCCTTGGACTGGTGCTCTGCTGGAGTTCCAGTGCAGCCCAGAACAACCTGCTGCTTTTTCTATATAAACTGCAAAGTTTTTAATRGAAATCAGAAAATTCTGCTCTGGCCTTGTAAGCAGGAAAGTAGGACCAAGTCTAAAGCACATATCCCAGAAATTCCAGAGTATTTAAAGATCTTTGCTTTGTGCCTGTCTCATTTCTCCTGGGACTGCTGCTAGTGATGGGCCAGAGCAGTTGTYGTAAAACAAGGCCATGGGAATGAATCTGAGAGTGGAAACTTTACACTCTCCCTCGCCTGTTGCTGCTCAGAGCCCGGTGCTGGGATGTGCACAACCATGTGTTCATGTCTGATGTGTCTGAATGTCTCTGTGTCCCCCCTCTGCCTCCTCAGAACATCAACGCAGCCCAGTCCAGCTTCCTGCCCGAGAAGGAGAAGCAGGAGCTGCTCTCCAAGCTGTACGAAGCCTATGGGATGGCTCCCAATGCATCGTGACCCATCCCTGGGATCCAGCGTGGAGCAGAGCCCTTCTTCACTGTGCCTGAGCCTCCTCTGTGCCCGTGGCAGCACTGGGAGGAGGTGCCCAGAGTGATCTCTGCTCCTGGCAGCCCTGTGTTAACCCTTACAGTGCTCATCAGAATCAKACTCTCAATTCACCTCCCTGTACCCCACAAATGCTCTCCTGCATGGATATCCAGCTTCCTATCCTGCTGTTGTGCAAGCAGACTGGATCTGCCTGCTGGCCTGACTCCCTTCTCCATCTGCTGCTGTTTCTGTACTGCAAATGCAAACAGAAGAGCCTCCTCTGCATTTTTCCCCACTCTTTTCCTGTTTTACCTGTCCTGTCCCACTGACCTGCCTGGCCCCTGCCTGCARTGCTGAAATAACCCCTTTTAACTCCAACTGTGGCCTGGGTTAATCTTCASCTTTCCAGGGAGAGGTGTGCTAGTGCTGGCAGGGAATGAGCAGCGCTTTTAGACACAGAGCCTTTATTCCTGTGGGGAGGAGGGTTTGGTCACAGCTATATTTACCCAGGGTTAGTCTTGTACTAACAAGACTGCAACAAGAACAAGGTGGAAGCTGGTGCCCCTGCCTGTGCACGGGTCTGAAGGGCATTTAAAATACAAYTTTTTTGGCATCCTTTCTTGGGTAAGAACTCCCRTGTMTCAGGCCTGCCAGTGTCACTGCTGYAGAAGTGCACACCTTGGGCTCAGGCCATGGCCTGCTCGCACATGCATAGGAAGTTGGAACATAATTTTACTATTTTGGGCCAAAATCTGCCTTCTGGGATCTTTCCTGGTTTTGTACTCATCTTGGAGAACTCCTGTGAACTGCAGTTTGATCTTCCTCTTACCTTTGTTTAGGACTTGGAAAAGAACATTATTGATTGCCTGCTKTAACAATTTTGCTCTCTTTCTGATTTGACACAATCATTAAGCACTCCTAAGGCAGAATAAATAAAATAACTAGGGCTCAATGTCCCACGTTGACTCAGGTCCCATCTGATTGCTTCTGTCACTCCATCACAACAGTGGCTAGAAGTCAGATCTTCAGTTTGGTGGAGAATTTATACAGAAAAACTCACCAAAAATTCCCACGTGATTTTACTCAATAAGCAATAGAGCTGTGCATCCAGAGGAAAGACCATTGTTTTCTTACCTGAGTGTGTGGTGTGCTTTAGCATCCCAGGGGTCTGCCAAGATGCTTACTCCAAAGATACTGTACCAAAAAGTTGCCTTTGACAWGGGGCCATGGTCACCTTCAGCACAGACAGACCATGGTTGGTCCAGTCTCAGCCAGCAGTGGTGTGCTGGGAGCATTTCCATTCTTTCTGGGCTTCCATATCGGTCTTCAGGGTAAAACACTCCTCTCTGAAGTACTTGGTGCATATATACAYTTAGATAGATAAATAAACATGAGAGAGTGATTTTCTTACTTTTATAAAGCAAAAGATAAAGTATCACTTTTAGGGACATGGTTGCGGTAAGAAACGGGCCTTTTTTGGGTCATTTTTCTCCAAAAATTGTTTCTGAAGAGGAGTTGCTTGTTTGGATTCTGGACAGTTGATTGTTAATCCTGTTTAATAAAATAACAAATTTATATTAAAAGAGAAATCCTCTTGCCTCTCTGTTCAGGGGTGACTGCTGGGAACTGTGGCCTGTGGTTTTTAATCCCTGCTGGACCATGAGAAGGGCTCATTGATGGGTGTGATGGGGCTTTGGGAGCTCCATGGATTCCTGCCTTCTCCTGTTGCCAGGCTGGAGCACTGTGACAGCCGAGGGAAGGCAGCTCCTTTACCAAACAGCCACGTTGGATTTATGGGCGCAGATTGTTCCAGCATCCCGTCCTTTTCCCTTCAGGAATCAAAGGGCTGGAAGCAGCAGTGCCATCACTCTGTACTCTCACTTTTCTGGGTGAATATCAAAAGTAGTTCCTCTTTCAGCCCATCTTCTGGGTTTTGCACAGTTGGTTGATGCTCAGAGACACAMGAGGGACAGCTGGAGCTGCTGGGCTGCACCGTATGCGTGGGCAGGGGAAAGTTTTTGGTTTATTTAGTGCTTGTTAGACTTGGACAGGTCTGGCATGCCTGTGTTCAGCTGAAATGAAGGGCTGGGAGCATCCCAGTGCTCAGCAGCCCTRCAGAGCAGGATGTGGCTGGATTAAGGCAGTGCCCTTGCTCTTTCAGCACAGTGACAGTGGCTGAGCTGGCTGTCACTTGCAGGGGGAACCCGATGCCTCTGGCCTGTCCCCTGAGAGGAGCTGGCCAACAGCACCCTACTCTGCCTAAATATAATTCTGAAACAGTTATTTTGTGACCAGGGGGAGCTAAGATTAGCCCACATTTGACTGCTGGAGGTCTTGTGTGGTGCCCAGTCCTTCCGCACTGCCTTTGAGCTTTGTGTGTGTGTCAGCATGAGCCAAAATTACTGTTCTGTGGTGAGGGGAGCTCAAAACGGGGCTTAAAGACACAACTGTGCAGTCAGCCAAGCCCAGGAGCGACCTGCTGCTTTGCCCCAGGGCACGGGAAGTGGGAGCAGGGTCTTGGCTGCAGTCCTGGCACAGCTCTGCAGCAGCATCCTGCCTCTCTGGGAGCTCTTTGCCAAAGAGCAGCCACAGGCACTACCTGGCTGCCAAATCCTCATTTCCTGTGGGGATTGGAGCCATGGACATCTCAGTGCTCACCCCATGGCCATCACTTCTYRCAGACAGCTCTCCCTCTRTCTGGCAGCYGCTTCTCTGCTGATGGATGGCCTTGTTTTCACTGATAAATCTCTACCATTCCGTTCCTGCCGAGGCTGTCAGGGGCTGCTCGCCCTCGTGGCAGCAGTGGAGAGCGTTTCCCAGGCCAGCTCTGCCTTGTCCCTGTGCTGGCTGTCACCCCCAGCCAGGCTGCTCATTGGGATCAGTGAAACACAAGCACTGCTCCTTAGCTCTGTGCTGCACAGGGAACACACCTCTTCCCACTGGCACCAATCCTGCTGATGTCTGGGCAGTAAACCTGGAAAAGTGGGGGCAGATTTCCATAATCTGTGCCCAACTACTCTGCCTTCACCTGGGTGCTGCAAACTCATGAAGTTTCACAGACCCAAACTCAGGGGACTCTTCCAGCCCAGCTTTTGTGTCTCCCTGTGAGACCACCTCACAGCTGAAAGCAAAACAGAGGAAGAARAAACATCCAGGCAGGAAAAAAAACACCTTCAGTACTTGAAGGCTGTGTCATTTATTCCAACAGCTTATGTAGTTTTATCAAACCATCTTTTAACACAAAACATGTCTCCTTAAAGAGAGAAGGGTGTGAGATCCTACCAGAGATCATCTCAGCTAACAGCTTGCAAAGTTAAGCCTGAATGTCAACAGTCAAACCAGCAAAATGTTTCTCCCCTCCCCTTAACAACATCCTAAAGTGTTCAAACCCAAGGGAAAGATGCCTGTGGCTGGTGCTGCTGGTCTCCAGGTGGGCTCGTCCCCACAGAGCTGTGCTTTGGTCCATTCCTGATGCTAAGCAGCAGCAGCAGCAGCAGCAGCACAGTGAGTGGTGTTGACACGAGGGCAGCAGGACAGGTCGGGTCCCTTCCCACTGCCCACCCTGACCAGGGGCCACGTGGACAATCCAAAGGTCAGGCCAGGGCTAAGATGCAGATGAGGGTGAGGCTTAGAAAAACCAATAATCTAAATATCTAATMTATGGAAACAGAATAAATAATAGTCTAAATCTGCAAAGGAGGGAGGTACCTTGGACAGGAAAATCTGGTGTGTCTATTATTACTGAAACTGTTTTTCCCCTAAGAGAAAATCGCAGCTAAGGCATCTYGAGAATGGCTCATTATCACTACAACCACGGCAGTGTTGCTTTAAATTGTTGGGGATGGGGGCAGAAGTCTTTTGGAGGTGCCAGTCCTTGCAAGTGTCTCGTGTCTCTCTACAAAAGCACGGTTCCAGCAGAGGCATTTGACAGACAACTTGCTGTTCCAGGTTGCCTTTTGTCCAGAGATTCAACAGATTCTTGTTTAATGTTCACAGCAAGGCCCTCCTCCTGCCCATCCCTCCCCCTTTTTGCTCTCATGGGGAGGGGCTGCTCTCTTGCCCCTTTGGTCTTGCTCCAGGGTCGTTGTCAGAAGAGCTGGCATCTCTTTGGCTTTCTGCAGAAGGGAGGATTGGGAAGAGAGCATGGTTACATGGACACAAACCATCAGCAATTACTACAGCTAATTTCATCCACSTTRTCACCTGAAGATCTGTCACTCCCCTCCTGTGASCAGATACTTGGCCCCMTCCCTGGGAGGGTTCAAGGCCAGGCTGGATTGCACTGTGAGGTCTGGTGGAAGGTGTCCCTGCCCATGGCAGATRRTCTTTAAGGTCCCTTCCAAACCAAACCATTTCCTATGATTTTGTGATTAAGAGTATTGGGTTCTGCCTTTGTGTTCCAGGAGTACAAAYACTTCCCAACACATCTGGCAATGCTTGGAGGGAGCCTCAGGGCAGGGATGTCCTCTCCTTGCCCAATTTTCGGGTGCTCCAGGACTGCCTGCCTGACAGCCTGGCAGCTGCCTAAGCTGCTCTCTGTTAGAACAGYTCAAATTTGTGCTTCCTAGGGACAGGTGGATGGACAAAGGCTGAAAGAAGTACACTTGGGGTAATGTGTTTTAAAGTGTTTTTATCATTACAGTTTGTAGGCTAGAGGATTAAAAGAGCAAGGGAAAAAAAYTGAGTTTCCCCTCTGCAGTGATAGYCTGTTGTGCTGCTTATCAGAAAAATCAGAGTGGCAAGTTTGGACAGAGAACTCGAGCTCCTCTCAGCCAGCTGGCCAGCAGACATTGAGCAGGGTGACACTGCTGCCACATTTGGGCTGAAAGGCAGGATCTGAAGATGGTGTGAAAGTTATTTCTACTGTTATCTGAAATACTGCAGAAGTATTCAAAGGTTGATTTTTTTTTTTTTTACAACCAACCATAAGAAGGAAAAGCAAACAACAACCTGCCTAATACATCATTTTTATAAAGGCTGATGTGTAACTTGCTCTGGGAGGGGTCTTGGTCAGTTCATGCCTTGTTTAAGGACCAGTGAGCAAAGGGCATGGGCTGGAGCCTGCAGTGTTCCTGTGCCAGGAACCAGGGATCATTCTGCTCACCCCTCCATCTGGGGAGTCTCCCACCACCTGAGCATCCCACGAGCCCGAAGGCACTGACTGAAGCAGTGAGGAATGGGCTGTTCCCCCTGAGCAYCCCTGTGATGCTCCTGGAGGCAGCACCGGTCATTCCTGCTGCCGTTTCCTGCCCTCCCTTCCAGGCTGTGCCAGCAGCTGCTGTGTGTGGGGACAGCTCACCTGCTCCTTCCACGGCGAGCTCACCCAGGCCCTCGGTCAGCTTGCGCATGCTGATGGTGCTGGCGTCTCGCTGGATGTCATGGACAGCGTTCCTCCGGCCCGCCCGGTCGCAGGAGATGAAGTCGGTGTAGGTGCTGGACTCTACCTCCATTGCATCTCTCTTTGCTTGCAAAAGGCTGYGGAGAAAACACAGCTGTGAGGGCTGGGATGCTCAGAACAGCTCAGGTCATGGCCAGGTGACTCTGTGGGTAACATGACAGCCTGAGAAAAGAGTCCCTGCAASTCTGCTCTGCTTCCTCTGACAGCAGCGACTGAAATCTCAGATATCATCTCCCTCACGTGGGGCAACGTGTGGGGACACCCAGCTGGGTGACCCACTGTGCCAGGCTCGGCAGGTGGGCACGAAGGATCCATCCCAGCTGCCTGACTCCTTCTGCCTTCCCACTGCAAACAAAGGCACACAGGGCATTTGCCTCTGCTTTGAGTTTCCAGCTTTCTCTCCAGCACAAGGTTGCTTGCAGCAGCTTTTTCCTACAGGAAAAGGACTACAGAGAAAGCCCTCCTTCCTCCTCAAAATGCCACGGCAGCTTTGAACACAGGCCAAATTTGGCTCACTGCTTGGGGGATGGGTTGGTGACCCAACCTGAATTTGTAATGGAAAATGATGGATGCCCATTGGAAAGTCRGGAGAGCAGGGAATGTTTTACAGGCACAGGGCTTTGGAGCAGCACTGGCCTCCACTGGCTGTCAGATGTCACTGAAGAAGYGTTGGGCTGAACTGCTGGGAGATAAACACTTCACCATGTGAAAATCAGCCCTTCTGTGAGACATTTGGATCCCTTCTCTCCAGACTTGCACCAGTGCCAAGCGCACAGCACGAAGAAAGGCCTGGAGCGGCCACTTGTCACATGCAGGCTCCGCTGTGCGCCAGCTCTGAGCTCAGCTGATGAATCCTTAAGTTGCTGGGTTTTTATTTTGGCCACTCACAGTGCAGGGAGCCGGGACCCAGCTCCGGGCAGAGCTGGCAAGCACACGCTGCCTCTGCACGGGAAACCCGGAGCTCCCGCTCCTGTAGGCTTCGTTTGGCACTTGGTTTGTTTTTCTACGTGGAAGCTGGAGATTAATTGCTGCCTTATCTGTGATTCTGATCACTGTAAAATGTGCCTCCAGCCCTGCTGGTGCTGTCAGTGCTTGGAGCAGGTCCCGATTAGAAACGCTCGTGTGCAGTGAAAACAAATTCACGCACATTTAATGCACATTCGCTCGCTTTTGTGCCTCGGAGTTAATGACCCACAAAGGAGTTTGCTCAGCTCCCTTTACAAATCCTGCTTAATATTGATTTCCCTGCCAGGGAAATCTGCTGGCAGCCCACCAGCCTGAACAGGAATTGCACTTCTCACTCTAATCCCCAGTGTTTCCACGGTAGAAAGGAGATGCAGGTGAAGATGCAATAAATGGGATAAAAGAGRTTAAATTCTCTCCGTTCCTCAGCTGAGTAGGGTGCAGTAACCACACACCCACAGAAACCCAGGGTGTTTTGGCAGCCCCAGGGGCTCCTCTCCTGGTGCTGATGCCAGCTCAGGGAGTGCTGGCACCAGCTCACTGGTGGGAYGTGGGGCTTGGCCCACCCAGATCTTGCAGAAGATCCCATTTCCCCAAATTGAGCAATTTCTTACRAACWCCAGCCTCCTCCACGGGCTTGGCAYCCATCTARCTCCTGTTAAACGAGTCCTGGGAAAAGCTGCAGCCTTTGCCCCAGGAAGAGATCCCAGCTGTTTGTTCTCATCTTCYCTCCTTCCATCCCTGGAACAAGGACCCTCCTTGGGATGAGCTCAGCCAGCAAAGCGCCTTTCCCCAGGACAGGACAAGCATCCATCATTCCCAGACAGTCCTCACAGGTCACCGGAGCCCAGACACTGCTGACCTTCTGCAGCTGCCAGAGAGATGTCACAGGACTGGGGAGGCTTCCCTYGGAGTGAACCAGACAAACTGAGTCCATCTATGACCAGTGAGGCCATTCCAGAGCTGATCTGCTCCAGCCCTGCTGCCCCATGCCAGGGTGGGACAGGCTGGGTTCCAGGATGGACTCCCCAAATTGGGCAGCAGCAGCAGCCAGCCCTTGGAATGCAGATTTTCCCCGGTATCCCTTGATGAAGCTGCCAATGGTGGTGGCAGAGCTGTGCCGAGTAACTGAGTCTCCCTTCACACGGGGAAAGGATGGGATCCTGATTAAAAACAGCACCGAGAGTGCGGGTCTGGGACCCGGCTCGGTGGCCGGGAGGTGGCGCATCCGATTTATTTATTTGTGTCCCTGGAAGGGCTCCTGCCTTCGGTTCTCCATGCGAAGAGGTGGAGGCAGGCAGATTTAACAGCAAAGCTTTCATACGTGTGCAATTCCTCCGGGATTTTCAAGGTGGGTGGCTCTCAAAAATCTTTCAGGCAGATTTCTCCCTACTGGCAGAGAGATTCCAGCCTCTGCTTCCGGGAGYTGTTGGGCTGACAGGGTGATGAAAGCCGTTGCCTCAATTTTTTTCATAGAAAAGCCTGATTTTTCAAACAACGTTTCCATACTTCCAGGCACAGAACCCACAGCTGTGTGGGTTTTTACTCAGTAACTGCTTTTAGGTTTTGCAGGGATAACAAAGGAATCACCTTCCCTCTTGCTCACAACCTGAAACTGTCACCGTGGGCAGTCACCTAAGGGTGGCAGGGGGGGCAAGGGGAGGTTCATCACCTGCTGGACCCCCACCTTTGGTGTCTTATTCTCCCGTGGACTGTCAGGAGAGACAATGAGGCTGCTCTTGCCAGGAAAAATCCCACAGCACTCACATACAATGTGCAAAAGTTTCCAGGGCTTCAAAGAGGTGGTTCAGCTTGTCCCCAGAGGGTCCTTCCCTGCCCTTCCTTTCYTCCCTGCTGCTGATGGTGACAGAGGCAGTCCCTGTGTCCTCAGCACAGCAGGGATGGGGCAGGGAAGCTGGGATCTGTTGCACATTCCTCAAGAGTTTGCTGTCCCTTCTGCCACGGGGATGTGGTGTTGCCTGTCCCAGGGCAGCACCAAGTGAAGAAGCCCCTCACAATCTGCCACTCACCCCAAAAATGTCCCCAGAGCCACCCTTGCTCCTGTCCCTGGCTCTGCCAAGCCTGCTGTTTGGCTGGACTGACTCTTCTGTAGTGTCTTGTGAGTATTAAAAAATCTGAGCTGGAACAGCCTTGGCTTTGCTGGTGTGGACTTGGCTTCCAGAGCGGTTTTGCTGTCAGATTTGCTGGGGTCACTGGCATTTCCCAGGGAAATCACCCAGCAGCTGACAGAGCAGCTGCTCTGCTCTGGGGGCTGCAGCTAAACCAGCCCTACCCATTCCAGGGCTGAGTTTGSCCCATTTGGTAGGTGGGTGCTAAGAAATTAAAGGTTTAAATATTTCCCCTGCMTTTTGGCAGAATAAACTGAGGCACTTCTTTTGGGTCAGCTCCACGTCCTATTTGGTGCCACTGAGGAGCCTCCATGTGATTCCTTTGTCCCCTCCCCAGCAGGGATCCCAGGGACCACAGCAAACACTGCAGACAAGCTCAGAGAGGCAGAGCAGTGACCTGGGGACATCTGGCAGGTCACCCCAGCACAGAGCTCTGTTCCTGCAGACCCAAACCAGCCCTGGGATCCCCAGGATTGGGATGGATGCTGCAGTCACACCCAGGCCTGACTCCAGCTCCAAGGAAACCCTTCACACCATATTGCACCTGTCCCTTGTCCAGGTTAAGTTTTTTTTATGGCTATTTTTGGGTGCTGGTGCTGGTTTATCAGCAGGCTGGGCTGAACTCAGCCAGCTCCTCTCTGCCTGCTTTGTGCCTCCTGCTCTGCCCCTCAAGCTCTGTCCCCACCCAAGGCCCTCTCTGTGCAGGGATCCWTGAGGCACAAAGCAGCTCAGGCCATTCCTGTCCCTCCTGTGCTGTCCCTGGGCCACCCAGGGCAGGGAGCTGTGTACCTCAGCTTTCTGTGTGCCTGCTGCAGGCGTTTGCCAGCGTCAGGAGCCTTGGCAGAGTCAGAGTCCCATGCTGGGGTGCTGCAGCCCAGCTTTGGCCTCACACTGTCCATTGCCCGGGGCCGTTGGCACCAACAGCTGCAGGTTTCAGTTGGAGACGGCTCCCCCATCCCACAGCCCAGCCCAGGACGTGCTCTCCTCTTTTCTTGGTGTCACACCAGTGGATTTAACACTCTCCAAACTTCTGGAGTTGCAAAGCCCTGAAGCCAATGAAATCTTGCCATTTTTCTGGGGTGGAATTCCAAAGTTCTGCTTGGGAACGGGGATGTGACCCTTTTTTCTGCTCAAGCATCGCATCCCAGCACCAAGGCATGAAGTGGTGCAGTTGCCTTGGAGCTCTCCACATTGTGCAGTGCCCCTTGCCCTTTCATTCCAGGGTACAGGGACTATTATTAGACTTCTCCTGCTGGGGCCGGATCCATAACAACAGCAAAACACACTCAACAGCCCTGCTGGGCTTTTAAAATATTTACAGTGTAGGATGGTTTACTRAAGAGGGGGGCCTGGTAGAGCACAGAGACGGAAGCACCGGGATTTCTGTGCTCCCTGTGGGTTTGCTGTGAGRTTTCCTGCTGGGAGAATCGCATCCAGCGAGGAGAAAAAAATATCCCATAGAGCTGAAGCCAGCACTTGAGGTCAGGGGGTTTCCACCAACTGTCTGACAACCTCCAGCTGGAATTYCAGCAAATTTTCCACTGGGCCTTGTCTGGGAACTKTYGTGAGGGGCTGCACATCAAAGGAGRGYTCTGTARTGGTGTTATTGGGGTATTTTCAGACCTGTGGCCATGCTGTAAATGCCTCTTTATATTTCACATCTACCATGCAGCAGAGCTCAGATCCACAGCAGAAGCTGAGGATGCAGCTGAGGATGGAGATGCTCCTGCTGGGAGTCCAGTCTGGCAGCAGCTACACCTGCAAGGAGCTGGGTAAGGCTGGTGACAGGGTCTGCAGCAGGCACAGAGCTCCCCTGGCTCTCCTGCTGSCTCAGTTCTCCACAGCGTGCTGCTGGTGGGTGTTAGTGGCCAGAATTGATGTGCTCCAAACTGCTGAGCCCGGAGCTCCCTGGCTTGCTGAGGAAACAGGCAGGATCTGCTACCAGGGCATGTGTGTCCATCTCATGCTGAGCAGCTTCTTTCCAGGTGAGAACAGCACAGAAAGGCCTCCCCAGACTTCAGTGATGAACAGATATTGAGTCAGGTATGGCACATCAGTATTTTGGGAAGTTTTTTTGCTGTGGGATTTCTTGTAATAACTCTGCACCCTCTGGCTCTTACACTAAGWATGACAAATTCAGCCAGGACAGACAGCACAGCTGCTCCAGCCACTGCTGTGGTTTTGCAGGGACAGAGCTTCCAGCATTCTCYAGGACTTGCTGGCAAATTGTAACTCCTTTAGGAGGAGAGCAGATACAGCTGAGGCTCAGTGTCCACAAATAGATCCCTTCTTTCCATTTGGCCTGGTTTTACACTATAAAGATCATTTAATGCCTRTAGAACTGATAACTAATTGCTTAAGATTAGGCTTAGACTGACTCCTCTGTGACTTCACAAACCTCGGATTTAGCTCTGYCAAGATCCCCAAACTCCTTCCCCTCCCTCCTGGCCTTCAGCTCATCCCCAGGGCACCCCACTGCAGAGTCCTTGCTGTCCCCAGGCACCTCCTGCAGTCCCACACCCTCACAGCCACTGCCTGGCTCCCTGCTGATGTAAGAAATGCTCCAGGCAGATTTCTGAATTGCAGCTGACCCCTGGAATCAGGGTAGGGCGAGTGTGCTCTGCTGTGATTCTCAGGGGACAGGGGGAGGCTGGGGGAGGCAGGAGGGCACTGCCAACCCTGCTGCCATCCCATTAGCATCAGGATGTGTGGGGGATGGCAGGAGGGAGCTGCCTGTCCATCCATCCATCCATCCATCCATCCATCCATCCATCCATCCATCCATCCATCCATCCATCCATCCATCCATCCATCCATCCATCCATCTGCCAGGAGGGCAGCCCCGTGCCCAGCTCTGGCCACACAATGCTGCCAGGCTGCATCCCCACACCTGGAGCAGGCAGCACCCCTTTGTCAGACCCCATGGGGCCAGGGTGCTGAGAATCTGCTCCAAAAATCCTCCACCATGGGAAGAATCACTGTTTGATGGAGCCCCTCTKCTCCTCCCTCCCCTCAGCACCAAGCCTTGATGCAGCTTAAGCCTCTTCTTCAGCTTCTCACTAAATTGATTAATGGAAATAATTGGTCTCTTTGTGCATCTGGAGACAGTTGCCGTGACAGCAGTTGTATTTTTATTTTGTTCCCAGGTTGAAGTTGTTTTTCACATCCCTCAGTTTCAAGGTGCTAATGAATCAGGGCAYTCTGGTTCTCCCCCACCTCTGCAAGACACACGTCCCTCCGAGGGGTGGGTGACAGAGGGGACAAGGCCCACTCAGCCCCAGCAGGCCTTAGCACATGGCAGGCTGGCACCTTTGTCCCTGCCTGTTTTACACCTCCTCAGTCTGGGCTCACACTGGATGGACACASTCCTGTGGCTTTGCACAGCAGAGAGCAGAGTCCCAGACCCGTCATGTTCACCCAGAGCACCCACAGGACCCTCTGTCCCCTGTAGAGACCCTTTTGAAGCTGTAAGGAGTCTGGGACTCTGAATCCCTTCTCCATTACTTTTATTTTCTTRCAACTTCTTACTTATTTACCTTTATATGTCAACACATTTTCACACAAACAACTCTGTCAAAGGTCTGCTGATGCCTGAAGTTGCAAAGCAGACAAGCCACAGAGCAGTGATCCTACAGAAGCCCCACAGCTGCTGTGGCAGGCACATCCCATGTACTCCCTGTATACAGTCACCCTATCACACCCAGGCCATGGGGTGAATTCCTTTGCAGTGGGGATCCCCTTCAGGCTTGGGTTCCCTGCCTTCCCCCAGATTATTCATGAAGGAAAGTCCCAATGGATTCCAGGTTAAGGGCTGGAAACTCCCCAGCAGCCCCACAGCTCTCCTGATCACACCAAGGCACTGACCTCTGAGCAAACACCATCTAAAACCCCACCTGAATTCCTGGCCCAGGGATGCTGGACCCCAGCACAAGCTCCACAACGCCTTGCAGGGTAAGGAGAAATCAAACAAGCACTGAGGAGATCAGCTGGGGCTATTTTCTAGCACATGTAAGAGGAAGGTGAGGGCACAGCAGCCCTTGATGATCTAGCTCTGTTTATGGGTTGAAGAAAACCTCTGTACAAGGACAGAGATAGGAAGGGATGAGTCCTTATTTTATGCCCCGAAGGAAACAGAGCTATTTAATCCTTCTCTTCTTTGTCACCTGAGGAGCTGAGCTCTGTGTGAAAGCAGCTCCTGCAGGGCTGGGAAGGGGAGCTGAGCCTGGAACAGGAGCTGTGAGGGCTGTACCTGGGCAGGTTTGGCTGCTGCTGCTGCTGCTGCTGCTGCTGCTGGAGCAGGCTTTGCCAGGGGAAGCTCTGCTTAGCACAGCTTGGTGAAGCTGAGAGCCCTTGGCTTTCCTCACTGAGGATTGCCCAATCCCACAGGAATTTGCATCCAGCATCCAAAGAGTCCTCCTGACTCAGTGCAGTGTGAGGGGCTGAGCGAAAGCCTCTGAAGCCTCCTGAGGTGCCAGAGCCCTGGCAGCTCCCAGTGGTGCCTAAAAATAACCAGGGCACCTCTTAAGAGTGTCAGTACAGAATGAAGCTGATTAGCAAACCCAGGCTAAGCTCTGCTCCCCGGAGCTGGCTGCCCTGTCTGTCTGCTCCACTGCAAACAGAGCCACCCCTGGGGCACGGGCAGGGCTGGGAAAGGGGGGTGGGGGACATGTGGCTTTGGCTGCTGGGATGGTGCTGGTGGTGTTTGCCACTCAACAGAAAAGGGAAGTGCTGGGGCTCAGAGCAGGCTGGCAGGGTTCAGAGCACCCTGGCTGAGGCTCTGGGTGGCTCTGTGGCTTCTGTCACACAATAGAACCAGGATCCCYTTGGCTGTGCTGCCCTGCAGGGACCCCTCCCCAGGCAGGGAAAGCTCTGCAGGCTGCACAGCTCCTCTGCTGACCATTGCTGTGACGGATGCAGCCTTTCCTTGTGGCTGTGTCAGGTGGCAGCAGCTCCTGATCCCTCCTGCAGCAGGGTAAATCCCTGTCCTAAGTCCCCAGGGCTGTGACAGCTGAACCCGAGCGGCAGCGGGCTCCACACGTGCCTGTAAGGAACTCTGGGATGCTCAGGGATCACTGCTGGGTGGAGTCTCAGCAAAGGGAAAGCTCCCAATAAAATCAATTGCTGAGTATTTTGTGGTCTGCTCCAGTGCAGCCTGGGCGTGGAAGGACAGGGGGTATCTCCAGGGTATGCAGGGTGCAGGAGATGAACTGCTCTGAGAGAGCTGCAAGAGCAGGGATGTCTGTGTGCACCCAAGAGTCCTGAGGCCCTGTACTGCAGATCTCACACAAAACAACCCCAGCAGCTCTGGGCAAGGGAAAGCTCAGCCCAGGGACAAGTSAGAGATGCCTTGGAACCAGAGCTGGAACATGGCTTAGTACCAGGACATGGCTGGGAGGTGTGGATAATACAGCAGGAAAGTCATTATGGCAGAATTGTTGGTATTTTTTTCCTCTTAGCAGCTTTCTAGCATCTGGTAATTCAAAATACTGAGGGAGGTCAAGTCACTCAATGATACAGGAAGGAAAAATCCCATTTCTGTTTGTAATACTTCCCTGCAAATAAGAACTTTATCAGCCACAGTGTGAGTCCCTACCTGATTTAGTGGACTTTCCTTCTGGACATGACTTCAAACACGCTTCACGCACARCAGGACAACAGCTTCTGGGAAAGAAGAAGGAAAAAAATGTAAGAAAACATTATCTGTGCTTGTTTTGGGAAGGATAAAGTTCAGCTGCTCCTCCCACTCTCTGTGAGCAGGACAGCAGAGGGGTGGCAGGGCTCTGCCCAGCAGCCCCAGATGGAGCCAGGCTTGGTGCAGGTGCCAGCACAGGGGCTGTGGGATGGTGTGTTCATATGGCACCTCCTCAGGTTTGTGCTGACAGACTTCATTGCTGTGTTAAAGCACAAGGAAAGTCTTTGGTTTTGCTTTTTTCCTTGCCCTCCCACAGGTGCTGGGAGGGCTGAGGCAATTCCTGTCCTGACCTGCGCTGCAGGGACCAGTGGCTGCCTCCAGAGCATAAATGAATATTGGTTTGCTGCTCTGCTGCCCTTTAAAGAAGTGAAACTCCCACATCAGCTTCTCCGAGGTGAAAGGGGAAGTTTAATCAAGCTCTGGTTTCTTTGCTGGGTCTGTGTCCAGCTCCTTGGGTCTGTGCTGTTTGTGTACAGCTGAGCCTCCTCCTGCTGTCCCCAAGCCCTGCTCAAAGACATTTCCTCTGTGGCCTCAACATCTGTGGGTGCTTTGCAATCCCCTGACCTGCAGAGCCTGGCCAACAGGACACTTGCTTATTTTAGCAGCTGTTTCAGCTTTCTGACTATTTTGGAACATCATGGACTGTGTTTTTCCCTTTGTCCCAGGGACAAATGTTAGCAGAACAGAAATCAAGAGATGAACCACTTAACCATATAAGCAGTAGCTCATCCAGCAATTCATCTGTCTGGTCCATCTGGGTTGAGTGACTCGAACTATTTCCCATCATTTTCCAAACTGGGACAGATCTGCAGCCTTTCTCTTTATTTTTTTGACCCACTTTCAAAACTTTGTAGTTGGAGCCGACTACTTGCTGGCTCTGGCCCTGCCTCAAGGACAGGGCACTTGCTGCTTTTATGTGTCACTTTGCCCATCTGTTAAATGGAGCTATTAATACTCCCTCCCCCTGTTAGATGCTTCAAATATTTTAAAACACTTTCAGCTCTGCAGATGACAGGCTTGCAGAAGTGGAAAATGCTAATTATGATCATGACAGGAGCTAAACAAAGACACAGGGATTTAACAATAAACTTTTGTTAGTCTTAACCCCATTTATAGCAAAGTGCTTACTGGAAACACTGGACCGGAAAAGAAACAGTATTCCCACAACTCTGGGAATATGCATTGCCCTTTTTGGGCACCAAGCAGGCAAACAAAAGCAGGAAGGAAGAAACTCAGCTTTGGAAATCCACAAATCTTTATTTTCCTCCTTTGCCTTCCTGCCCTGGCTTGCGTGTTACAAACCCAAACAGTTAAACCTCCAGCACCTCAGGAGTGTTGCAAAATAYCTCAAAACACGTGGGGCCCTGCCAAGAGAGGCTTAAAGCAAAGTGGAGCAGTGATGCTCTGAAGTAGAAGTTATTGCTGAGCAGCTTTGTTCGTGATGGGACATGAGGGGAAACTCCCATCTTCTCTCTCAAAAAAGAGCTGATTTTGGAGACAAAAGCTCTTTAGCAGCATCTTCTAACCCTGCAGGCCTGGCTCTGGCTAGATGTTTCTCCCCACAGCCCTTGCTTGGGCATCTGAATTCTGCAGATTTGGAGGTGACCGTCTTGCTCCATCCACAAAGGCTCATCCCCTTCTGGCTCACCTGGTCCTGCTGCTGCCAGGGTGATGGGCAGAGCTCCAGAGCCCCTGAGCACAAAGGCCATATCCCACACAGACTGTTAGGGACTTGAACAGTGGCACATGGATTAGTCCATGCAGTGTGACTCAGGATGTGCTACAGTGCCTTGCTAAAGAACACTTTGTTTGTAATCTAGTCCTGTAACACATCAAGGTACTGTGAATTGTTTTGGGAGCCTAGTGGAAATGCTCATTGGTAGAAAAACATCCATACCCCAACAGGAATGAATTACAAGGGCAACAGCACAGAATTACAGAATCATTTTAGATTGTAAAAGATCTTTAAAGTCATCAAGTCCACCACTAAGCCATCTCCCCAAGTGCCACATCCACATATCTTTTTAATATCTCCAGGGATAATGACTCTACCACTTCCCTGGGCAGCCAGTTCCAGTGTTTGACAACCCTTTTGGTGAAGAAATCTTTCCTAACATTCRACCTAAACCTTCTGTGGTGCCACTAAAGACCATTTTCTCTTGTCCTGTCCCATGTGCACGATCGCACATRTCTGAGGTTCAGATTCCCTGCATGGTGATCAGATGTTACCCAAAAGGAGCAAACACATGAAACAACCTTGGTCCTCTCAATATTGCTTCCAATTAATTCATGTTCCAACAAAACACACCCCAGAATGTTTTTTTGGCAGAATTCAGGACTATTCTACACAACAGCTGTTCTGGTGCTGCTTTGATCCAGAGAGGAAATCCTGCCTGGTTTCAAGCAAGGTGATRGCAGCAGAGAGAAGGTTGTTCTTGTGTCCCTTGGCTGCTGGGTAAACAACAGGCTGCATGCATGGCTGSTCAGGACAGCAGCCTGGTCCTCCCAGAGCAGCCAGGCTGCCTCATTTCGTGCTCTGCCTCCAGCAGCAGCTGGCATCCTCGGCTTCAGAGCTACAAGAAAACCTCTAATTGTAAAGGAATGTTTTTTCATAAGTCACTAATGACTCTGAACCAGGAGGTGTTATAATCCTTACAATGCAATATCCTCTTAATCATRCCCAGGATTGTTTTGTTACCGAGATAACTACCTGGTGCCCATTAAAATGCCTTCAGAGCTCTTTGTTCCACCGATATCTCATGGCAGTGAGCACCACAGATTAATTACCCTTTGTGGAAACAGTCACTCCAGTAAAGTTGGTGACGYTCTGGTGGGGATATGTTTGGCTTATTACATCACTGCAAATATCAACAGAAATGGCATTTCGGCGCCCGACGGGGAGTTCCCTGGGCAGCGGCTTGTGACGGGCAATGTGCCTGCATGAGGAGCTGTGCAAAGAGCACCCAGCCTCTCTGGGCTCTCCTGGGAAGGGCAGTGCTGGGGAACTCCCTGTGGAAACCAGAAAAGAGCGGTGGAAAGCACATATTGCCTTAGGCTTGGAGAGAGTGAGAGTTTTGAAGTGGGGCTCGGGCAGTTCATAGTCCAACTGTGGCTCTTCCTGCTCACWCTGCAGGTGCCAGCCAAGGCCTGGAGTGACCTCAACCTCTAACTGYCACCATGAGGAGCTTGGGACAAGGCCCATGGAACACCTGAACCTTCCCTTCTCCCTGGCTGGTACTTGGCTATGCCTGGGGAGCAGCTTCCCTTACAACTTGTCTTTTTCTAGTATGAGCAAAAGACGACGAGAAGCAGTGGGCTTTTCTTCCCCTCTCATCCTCTCTAAATGGTGCTGTGGTGGAAAATTTATTTCTTGGATCTATCCATATAAACAGCTTTGGTGCCATTAAGGAAGCCCCTAAGGGTGTGGAGRAACAATTGGAATGTGAAAATGGGAGAGATCAGAATGGGGTGACACAGAAAGGCAGACAAAAAGCTGGRTTGAAGCTTCTGCTGTTCCTTATGGACTTATAGATGCATCCCTCATTCTGCCACAGACCTGTGTGAGCCCAGGGAAATCATCTGCTTTGTGTGAGGCCCATGTAAAACAGGAATGATGCTGGGGCTCGGGTGCCCAGACAGGCTGGAGGCATTAATGCACAGCAGTATGCTGCARGAACTGGCTCTGAAATGTGGGAGATCAGGAAATGTTAGCACCTCGGAAAACGTTTTTCATAGTTATCTTGGGTGGCAAGGTTATGTGCCTGTGGCTATTCCTGTGAGTGGGATCAAAAGTACATTTACTTTTCTTTGGAATGACAGGAAAAAGCAAARCTCCCCCTCCTAGCTCCTCGTGTGCCGGCACACCCCTCACAATCAGCCACTGGGTACAGAAGTGCCAGGTTGATGGAAGATGCACGGCTGTGAACATCCCTGGGTTACATCTCTTGTGACTGAGCTGCCTGTGCTGGAAGCACAGGTACTGTAGTTTATGGTCTGCAGGTCTCTGAGGCATCAGAGTCTGCACCCTGTGGAAAGCGTCCCCCAAAATGATGGCACGGGGAACACTCACATCTAGGTGGAACTCTGTCCGAAAGACTCAGTGCTGTGCTCTGTGCACAAGGTTTATTAAGCTCCATTGGTATATCCACGTTTATAAAAGGCCATTTAACCTATATCTGCACTATAAACAAATACAGCCATTGAGGATCTCTTCGTGGATCCTTCTTTCCTAAAAACCCTTCCTCACAGCCAAAAGGTGGCAATTTCTTAGCTGGGTGGCCACGCTTAGCTCAGTGACTCTTTCCAGCCAAAAGTCGCTGAAACCAAGCGCTGCCCCACAGTAACCAAGCCAGGCATGCCGAGCAAAGCCCAGAGCTTGAGGGGCTGTCACCATCTGAGTCTCAGCCCCCCAGTGAAGCCGTACCCACCCCATAAATCCTCCTTCACCCTCGCCCTGCAGCAGCATCCCCGCCGCAGCTCCTCGTGCTCACTGACCCCGGCTCGTCCTCCTCCGGGTTTGAGTCACCAGCACTCCCAGGGCATTGCCCCTGGGGTCACAGCTATACTTGGCTCTTGCTCTGCACAACCATTTACCCCTTCCAAGCAAAAGGAAATTTCCCAAACATGCCTTTGGGRCCAAGGCATTACATGCATGTGAAAGCTCCCCACCACGGCTCGCTACCAGCTGCTTGGGGAAATCCAGAGAGAGGAAAGACACACAGCTTCGAGGTGGAGGCATTTGCAAAGCCTCCTGAGAATACCACCGCACAGCTGTTCTTTTTTTATCCCAACTCTTTGCATTTTCAAACATTTGCTTGGAAAGCCGGATGCCAGCAAGTCTCCGAGCCTGCTTCTGCTGCCACATTCTGAAAGCTCTGCTCGTACCCGCAGCTCCGAGAGGAGTCCCGGACAGCCCTACGGCTCCTTCCATCCCGAGGGATGATCCCACCATTCCCGCACCGACGGACCGCCTGTCCCGCTCCCGTGCGAGCACAGAGCAACCCCCACGCTGGAAGGGATTCCCTCCGGCAAATCGCTCCGAATAAACGGACACGCGTTAGAAATGAGGCCAGAAATCCCCACGGGGCTCACTGATCCMCGGTCCTCTGTGATTTCTCTCCTCCGAGTCTGCTCTCCCTGCTACCCCTTCGCAGGGAGCGCTGAACCGCGTTATTCCCCGAGCGGAACAGCCRCCAGCTCCCCGCCGGCAGCCTGCGAGCGGCTTCTCCCAACAAACAGCGCAAAAACCGGGCTGCAGCTCTGCTTTTCCAGCCCGCGATCTGCCGGCAGCAAAGCCCTCGCCGTTCGCAGTCGGTCGTGTAAAAGTTCACCCAATCTCCGCACAAACCCGTGCCCCGTGGCGCGGCCGTGGGCAGGAGAAGAGCCCCTGGCTGCGCTCCCGGGCAGGTRTCCCTGTCACCCACCGCCCCTGCCCCTCGCCCCCACGGCAGCGAGCACAGCCCTACTTACAGCCCCGGCTCCCGCCGCTTCTCCGCTCGCAAATCCCGTGCTCCCGGCGCCGGGGAAGGAATCGCGGCTGGATTACACCCTGCTGGCGTCTCTGCCCGCTGTGGCGAGCAGCCAAGCCGGCCGGGAGAGTCGCAGCCAGTTTCAGACTTGCAGTTTCCTTCTGCTGGGAGCTGCTAAATGAAGTTGCACTTGTGGGGCCAAGGGGCGTGTTCTCCTCCCCTCGAGTCAGTCCCTGCCTGCTGTAATCCAATGCTCTGCCCGATGATGTCAAGCGGCTCCCGCTCGGCTCCTACCTTACAGTCGGCAGGAGGGATCCGTTTCCTTTTCACAGRGATCTTTGTTTAGCTTCGGCTTGTAACCCCATCCCCCGACAGCTGCGTGTGCCCGAGCATCCTCCCTTCCCTGCTCAGCGCTGGGGCTTCTGCTGCCGGGCTGTCACCCCTGCCGGCTGCTCCCCCAGGTTTCTCCGGCACATCGCTCGGATGCACGTCCYACCTGCATCCCACTGTTTTATCCTCTCCATCAGGGCTCGGCCACAGACACCATCACACCCCTGGAGCCTGAGCTATCCTACCAGGTGTAGCCAGGGAAAGTATATACCAAGATAAATGCAGCTTTGTGTCTTTTTGGAGTGCTCCACTGGCTCCCATTAAAAGCGAGGAGTATTTCAGCTCATCCGCCCCTGGGTGCCAGCTGTATTTGGGGGTGAAGYGCAGAGCTAGCTGGTGACAGCACCTGGATTTAAGGGGGAAGGTGCTGAGTGTCACATTTAAATCACATTTCTTTGTATCCACCCTGCTGTGTGAAGCACACCGTGGGAGCTCGAGGTCACTATAGAAGAAAATTTTGGCTGTTCTTGGTACCACAAGGACAGAGGAATGTCCCTTTGGCTGGCATCACCTCCTGGTGTCMCATCAGCCTTGCAGACCCCACTGGATGGCTGAAACCAAACAATCAAGGTGGTTGYAGTCATCCTCTGGCCCCACCAGTGTGGAGGGAAGGTGTGTGAGCACAAAGGAACGCGCACAGTGCTGCCAGCGTTTGCTTGAACGCTCAGACTGGAGCAGGGCTCATTAGTGGTAATTGCTTTGCTGAGAGAGTGGAAGATTTGCTCCATCCCTGCTGTAAGAACACTCAGCTCCTCACAACTGGGGAGCACAAAGGGTGTTTGCCAAGGAATGGATCCACTCTAGCTAGACAAGTTTTTGTTTCAGGTTGCAGGCAAGGTTAGGCTTAGGGTTTGGCTTAGGGTTTGGCTTAGGGTTASGGTTATMTTGCTGGCACCAGACAGGCACAGAAGTGGCATCTCTGCATTCCTGCAGCTCTCCCATGACAGATGGGACCCAGAGCCACCCAGTGCCAGGTGAAGAGCAGCAGCCTCTCCTCCCACACGGCACCACCCTGCACAGYTGGACCTGTTCCACCTCTGCTGCCATCACCAGCTCCAGCCAGAATCTGTGCGTGCCCAAAATTGTGGTGGTTGCTGTGAAAGATACCCACAGGATCACAGGAAGAGATAAAAACACCAAGAACAGCAGCAAGCAGCACAGGAAACACCCTGATGACAATTCTGAGGCACAGATGAAGGGGAGTGGACCTCAAAAGGGCAAAACAGACCCATGCTCAATGCAYCCCCAAACCAACCTCATGCAGCCTCCTGATTCAATTCAGTTTTAGATCAAAACCAGCTCCAGGAAGCCCATTTGATTTCCTGAGATGCATCACCTGGCAGAACTCATCTCTCTCCAGCCGTTTTGAGTCASACATTGCTGCTCACCCAAAAGCAGCCGTAAGGGATTCACCACAATGCCCTGCCTGTCTTCGTGAGATGCCAGGGAGGGAGCAGGGCCCTGCTGTGCCCAGGGGTAGCACAGCCTCAGGAGACTGCTGTGCTTCTCTGGCCAAGGCTGCAGTTTTCCCTTTACTCCAGCTAGCACTTGAAAAGGATCCAGAAGGTTACAGCTTCACACTCAGACTTGGACTGCAGGGTTTGGAGGCCAAGTCTGGTAAGGATACAAGTGCTACAGTCACCCAGGCATTTCCCTGGCAGCCTGTGGCCAGGACCATCACAGCACAGACAACAAAGAACAGTGCAACAGCAGAGTACTCTGGAAAGCCAGGAGCTCAGGATATGTRCTTCTAAAATAAGACATGACTTGTCTCTCTCAAAGCTCCCAATCCCATGTGTGGTCCTGGCAACAAGCCCCCAAAGCAGCCACCAAAAGTCCATGCTTTTCTGTGCAATGGTTTGTGTCCTTACAATGACTTTCTCATCTAATACCATACCCTACAAGGGCGTCTCAAACATTTTCCACCAAAACTCTTTTTAAGTAAAAAAAAAAAAAAAAAAAATCCATTTAGATTTTCTACAAACTGTATGTTTCTTTTTCCTCGCAGGGAGGTGGGGGACAATCCCGAGATGCCAAAAATCCTGAGATTGCCTGAAATCTGAACACATTAGTATAAAAATGCATGGCTTTCAGTGTATTCAGTCTTCTTGTTCTTAAGCAAAACTGACATTTTGCAACAATACACTCAAACTTCTAGTTAATGCTCATGTTTGCCATCTCCTGCCCTCTTTTGTCCACCATAAGGCRTTCATCCGGGGGTGGTGGGCAGATGATAGAGCTGCCCAGCATGGCTCGCTCTGCGTGATGGATGGTGTCACAGCCTTGAGCTGACTGACTCAGCTGCAGCCACAATCAGCCCTTAGTGGCTTCTACTTTACTCATGGGTTTGTGTTTGCTGAGGTTGTGGCTGCCTGTTGTACCCATCTGCTCACTCTGTGCTGTCCTGYGTAGTCTGGGATCGATGCTGATGCCATTACCACTCTGGACAACTGGAGGCTTGGCTCTGCTGCTTTTGACCTTGCAGTTGGTCTGCAGTGAACTGTGAATTTTTAGTTTTGTGCCACAGAGTGGGATGCAGAGAGCAAAGCCCCAGGGAAAGGATGGTCCTATGAAAGTCGGCAGCCCATGGTGTGGGTGCCACCTTCGCTGCTCTGGTGCCACACGAGATAGGAGAGCACAGCTCAGGGAMGAGCAAGAACTGCCCTGCAGATTGACTCTTAACCTTTAGCTGCAGGAGGGACAAAACCAAAGCAATCTTAGAGGGTAAATGTCAGAATGAGGTGAGAGCATCCCCAAGGGTTTCGATGTAAAGAAGCCCAGCCCCAGAGCAGCACCGCCGTGCCAGACCGCACGATCCCGCTCCGGCAAGGAAAACCACCAGCACAAAGGACCCTCCGGGAAGCTCTGGAGCCTAAGGAGACAAGCTGTCACTTCAGAAGGATCTGACCTGCCTCTGACCCGAATGTTTTTGCAGCCTAAGYCTCGCTTTCCTGAGTGCTGCCAGGGTTAGAGCAGCGCTGCGGTAGCCGCTGATGTCGCATGCAGCCTCCTCACGTAAGAGCAGCTTCCCGCTGCATTTCCCAGGCACTGAGGGCTCCGTGTTGCTTGATGTCATCAGGATTGCAAGGAAATGTGGAATGGCACAAGATATGCATGGAAAAAATGTGACATGGTTTTTTTTCCAGACTTCCTTCCATAAAATAAATACTTAAAATAAACTATTTTTGATAAAAAGAAACAACCCCACAGAACATTTTTCAATGATGTGCTGGGCTCCCAGGGCAAGAGTGGATGTCTTAAGCCATCAAATAACAGCTTCACTTGGAGATTCATGAGAAGAAGAGAAACTGAGAAGTAAAAGCAGCTTTAGTGACAAGCCACTCTTTTTGCTGTCAAGGGAGGGACACAGTTTGCTGTTGATTAGGGAAGAGAGAGTGGGTGCTGGGATGTCTGAATGAATTAACCAATGTTCAGACCCATGTTATTTTTATAAAAGCTGCTCATCCAGAAAGATTCAACAAGTGAAACACAAAGAAGCTTGTAATGAGGCTAAACTCATTAGTGACTCCCCCTTCAGGGTCACCCCTGTTAGAGGGCAGGGCTTGAGGAGCTGAGCAGGGCTGTGGGGAGCCCCTCTGGGCACTGGGACCGTGGGGACATGGCTGTGGCTGCTGGCACTATAGCTCTGTGTGGGGCTGGCATTCCACCAGGGCAGAGCACACTCAAAAAACTGTTTACTTTGAGCTGGAGCTATTTTTAGCTGCACTAATCTGTGCAGAGATGATAAAGCTTTTCATTGCGAAGTGAGTGGCTGTGCTTTGCTTCTGGGCAATTTCACTCCACGAGCTCATCCCTTCCCCCTTCCTGGCCACTTCTCTTTACTGACCTTATCTCCTCTGCCTCTGAGCCAAACACCTCCAAAAGGTTTGTCCCAACTAGATAGGTGGGAGTCTCAGCCCAAACTTTTTTTTTTTTTTTTTTTTTTTTTTTTCCCTAGGGAAAGTATTCTGTTTAGGAAGTTTGTTCAATAGTCTCCAGAGCAATAGTTGCAAGGCTTTGCTGGAAGCCCATCATGGACATGCACCCTCTCATTTCTGCAAAATGCCTCCTGTCCAATGGCTCTTGCAAAAGAAGTCACTTGACAGCAAAAGAAGTCACTTGACAGCAAAAGAAATCACTTGACAGCAAAAGAAGTCACTTAACAATTACCTCTCTGCAGCTGCAACAAGTACAAGCAGGTCTCAAACTCGGATCTCATGGCAAACCAGAATCCCCAAGCATTGCAGTCCCCACTGCCCTACACCATTTCTTCCAAGGGGTCCCACAGCCCATTCCAAAGTCCCTCACACTCTGTATAAGAAGCACTTTACCTGCTGCTGATAGGAGCAAGCGCGGCAGCTGGTTCACAGCACAAAGGCTACAAAACACGCACAAACCCTGCTTGCTCAGGGATTTGTTTGTCTAAAGGACTCCAGAAGCTTCTSCAGTGTAAACCCACAAAGGTCATGCATCCAGCACATGCTTCATCAGAAAATCATCCCTTGTGGTGAAAGCTTTCTTGTCTGGGACACAGCATGAATAACATCTCTGTCGGCTCAGGGGGTGTTCAGAGCGGGGAAGAACATGCAAGTGTTAATTAAATAGGTTMATTCTGCTTGTTAGGAAGGGTCAGATATATAGAAAAGCTAAAAATAATTGTCAGGATGAGAAGGTACAGCAGGAGAGGTATTCCTTAAGCTGATCATGATTGACTGCTCAGGTGTTGCTGGCAGGGAAGCAGGAGATGCCCTGAGTTCCACAAACAGGTACTTCTTCCCTTTGTCCCTCTGATTCTGCCAGAGAATGTAGCTGGAAGAAA